TTAAAAACCATTGTCCTCCACTCAGTTTATCAGTCCAGAGGCCAAAAGTCAGAGAAAAGAAACTGAATCTGACAGGACCACCAGTTTCTGGTGGTCAGAGCAAAGCATTCCTGTGACATGATCAGCTCTGTCTCTGGATCCACTGGTTCTCCTGTCAAAGCAGCTGGCTGGGCAATAGTTGAGCAAGCCGACATCCAAACTGTGCAGTGGGCCTTTGTTCATTCAGCAAGTACTTTCTGAGTGCCTACTGTGTACGAGGAGTTGTTCCAGAGGCTGGGATACAGCAGTGGACAAGGCAGGCAACAATCCCTGCCTTCATGGTAAGTGCTTGAAAAACTAAAGCAGGGAAGAGGGAGAAAGGGGAAGGATACAAACTTTACATGGGTGCTCAGGGACATAGAAACACCGGAAGGAGTGAGGGAATGAGCCATGAGGATACCTGGGGGAAGAGCCTTGCAAAGGGAAGAGCCAGGGCAAAGATCGCTTGGATAGAGGAAGGTAGAGGGAAGATGGGAAAGTGAGTCCAAAAGAGCTTCCTGCCTGGATGTCTCATCCCTGTCCTCTGGATCAGTGTCCTGCTGATTAATGGTGGCAGTGTGGCCCCTGTGACTAGGAGCTAGGGAGGGACTTTGAGGCCATCAGGCTGACTGTATCCTACTTTCTGCTCACTCCCCTGGGTGGTCCTATCTAGGGCTGCTGTGAGGACGACTCTGGGTGCTCTAGTCATATGCACCCCATTTCCTTCTGCCAATCCAGTTTCCACTCTTCCTCCCTTTCTCGAGTGGCTAACAGGCACACCGGCTTTGGAACAATGGGGACAGCCAGCAATGAGGACTCCAGATTCAGGAATATAGAATTTCATGTAGCAAGTGTCCAAGGTTCTATCCATCCAGCTAAGAAGATGTCCTACCAAACTGTCCCCCTGCCAAGCTGTCCTAACCTCACCCATGGGTGTTACATGTGCACCAAGGAATTGCTGGCCAGGTTCCACTCAGCAATGCTGGGAGGGCACCGACGCATGGATGCCAAGATCGGAGATCCATATGCCTGAGACCCTCGAATGTCCAGAAGTGGGACCATGCCATCTGATCCTGACCTGGAAGGAGCTGGAAGCACACCGGGCTGGTCCAAGGGAGGTCAGTGGCTTCAGCTGAGAGGTGGACAGCAAGAAGCTCACCCAGCCTGGCAACACAGGCAGGGACAGCCAGGATGCCGAAGGGGACAGCACTATATGTAGCCCAGCTACTCAATCCCCCAGATGGTAGTCCCGAGGTCTCAGGAGGCAGCAAAGCACAATGATTCAAAGCTTGGGATTTTTGGTCAGTTGCCCTGGGTTCAGAGCCCACTTCTGTTATTTCCTTTCTGTTGGTAGATGTTTTCCTCCAGGAACAGCTTCCTTATCTGTAGAATGCGTTTACCTCCTTGGGTCATTATAAGGATTTAGAAAAACAGAGGCTCTAATCAATCCCTGCATGGAAGTAATGATTGTTGCCTGGCTGCCTAAGCCCCTGAGCTCTTGCCTTCCTTTCCCTTTCTAGCTTCATTCTTGTTCCTTGGACCAGCCATCCAGGGGACGTGGACCCTCCCAAAGGCACCATCGTGCCATGCAGGGTAACATCCAACAGCTGATTCAGTGGGGGATGTTTTTAATGTAGGGCATAGGTTTTCTTGGGGTGTCTGTGTTGTGCCATACCAAGCAGAAGGTGAGACCACCTTGAGCCTCAAAAGCCTTTTTATCCTGGCAACTCTGTGAATTCACAAAATCCATAATACTGCCATCACAGGACTACCACTGCCGGCTTCAAAGTGAGCAAGTTCCTTGTAGGGAGATGAGCCGTACAGGGAGCATCATACCACCAGGGGGCGCTGCCTGGCTGGTCTCTCTCTCTCTCTCTCTGTGTCCCCCCCACCCCCATTTCCCAAGGAGGCTGAGGGAAGGCAGAATCAGGAGCATTAACAGGGACCCTTCACATCACTTGGGCCCTTTACAGTTTGCCTCATGTTCTTGCACATGTATTCCATCTTATGACTAAGGGGATAATGCCCAGATAATGAATTAAGTCTCAAGAGAGGTGAAGGGGCTGCTCGAGGCCACACAGCTGGTAAGTGGCAAAGCAGAGATCCCTCCTAGGCTTGCATGATGCCAACCCCCAGGGTTCCAGCCTCTGACCAGAGGGGAGGCAGCATGGCGAGGGGGCAGGAGGGTGTCCTGGGAGACCGGAGCCAGCTCTGAGTCTTGCTCTACCCCCACCCAGCACAGCTGACCATTCCTATCCATTCCCCTCCCCTCTCCCCACATTGTGGGATTTCAGCGACCTTCTCTCGCCGAAGAAGGTGAGGGGCTCAGGCAGCATGAGTGGAGCCCTCGATACTCAGGCAACATATGTGCTTTTCCTGGAGCACAGCCTGGCCTCTTAAGGGCTGATTTTCAGTCCTGCCAGAGACTTCCACACTAGCCACCCCAACTAGCCATAGACACCCTAGCCTGCAACTGTACCCCGAGTCTGGGGCAGATGCTGGGATGCAAGGAGCCAAGGCAGTGTGCTAACAGGGGATGCCTAAGGCCACCACTCACTCTACGTCATCACTATGCTCAATGCTGGACATGCAGCCTCATGTAATCCCCAAGACGGCCTTAGGAGGCACAATATCATGATCTCCATTTTACAGGTGAGGACTCTGAGGCTCAAAGAGTACCTCTGCAGCTCTGGGGTGGGGGCGGGGGGTGCTGGCTTTCCTCGAATGTCTGCTGCTGACTGACTAGATGCATAAGGAGAGGGTAAGCGTGGATCTTGGCCTCTGCTCGAGTTCTGGAGAATGTAAAGGACACGAGAGCTGGCTGTCCTCCAGCAAAGGTCTCCAGAGCACCAATGCTTGGAGACAGGGAGGAAGGAGACTGTGGGCTTCCAGGAGCTCACAAACCTAGGGGGTCAGCCAGGTCCTCAGTGGAGGATAGATTGCAGCCAGACTTGTGAGCGAGCATGTGCAGAGGCCAGCAAGAGCGACAGGGGGCTCTGGTGGTCAGCCAAGGTTTACAGGAGGAGGGGAGACTGGAGCCAGTCATCAAAGGGTGAGGAAGAGCGTGCTCTGCAGAGCGGAGATGTGGGAGACCTGTGAGCAAAAGCTAAGGCGTTAGGGTCCTGTGGCTGGGTGGGGAGACAGCAGGTGAACAAGGGCTCATCTCTGGGGCACACCCATGGTCTTATGAGAGAGAGAAGGTGTGGGAAGATGCTGGGTGTCCATGGAGGACTGTGCCTCAGGGAGCCCATGCATTATGATGATTCCTCTTGGTGGGAAAAATGAGGTTTGGGATTTACTATAGTCAGAAAACTGCATGCCTCCATGAGTGTGAATATGTACACAGCGTATCTTTGAAGCCCTATGTCAAAGTCGTTTTATATCTCTGATCTCTTTTTACTTTCGCAACTACCCTGAGAGGTTGGCTGGACAGAAATATCCTCAAGGACGGAAGAGAATACAGAACTCCAGTGGGATGAAATGTCTGGCCTGTGGTCATGGGGCTCGAAAGTTGAAAAGCCAAGGTCTATCCTGGGCTCCTGGCCCTAGCTCTATGCTCCTGCCCCAACTTCCGCCTGGACTGCCATCCTATCTCCCAGGACCCTGCGTGCCACAGGCCACCATGGCCCCTGCCTCCTCTTGCATTTTCACAGGAGAACCCCCACCAAGTCTGGTGGGTCTGGGAGCAGGAGTGAAGGACTGAAACAGAAAGATGAGGACCCACTGGCTGCAGATGCCAGAGCCCAAGTCCAGGGTTGAGGGTCCATCGCCTCCTCCCAAACTGCTTAACGTGCCTGCCACCGCTTTTAGGAGGAACTGCTGCAGAGAAAGGACCAGGAGGGGTGAAGCCCTGTGCTGGTTCTCTGGGGCGGACTTGGGGAGATGGGCCTCAGGTAGGGGCTTCCTAGTTTGACCTCTTCTTTCCAGAGTCTCCAGTGGGATGGCACTGAGGACTGAAGGTCGGGGGAGTGGTCTTCTGCTCCCTGCCAGTACCAGTGGGCACGTGCAAAGCTCTCCCTTAGTGCCAGGCCCTGCTCTGAGGGCTGGCACACATATTCTCAATCTCCACAGCCACCTCCAGAGGAAGGTTCCATTATTACCTCCCTTTTTACAGATGAGGAAAGGGAGGCACAGAGAGGTTCAGTGATTTGCTCAGGATCACTCAGTTTGTAAGTGGCAGAGCTGGGGTTGAACCCAGGACATCTGCCTCTAGGAGCTACTCTGCCCCTGTTATTAGTAACATTCATAAGCAAAGCCACCATTTGACCAGTACCTCCTGCGTGCCCGGGGCTTAGTTCCTTACAGCAGCCTGGGACTTGGGCACTATGCCCTGCACACTTCTCATCTCATAGATGAGTAAACCTAGGCTTGGCAGGCAGCCTGGGGTGAGGCACCTTCAGAATCTCACAGATGCCAGGTCTACCTAAATCGGAAGTGTCCACTCTCCCCAGCCTCTGTGACTCCCTGTGTGACAGTGGGAAAGCGCATTCCCTTTCAGAGCCTCAGTTTCCCTATAGCCTAGGCCTTCTACTCCTGGCCTCCCTGCTCCAGCAAATGAGGGAGTGAGTGGGGTTGCGGTGCTGTGGGAGTGAGGGTCTGGGCAACTCAGGGCCTTTCCCTTCCCCCACCAGGCCCCCTCCCCTTCCCCCCTCGCAGAAGTCCAGAAGTCGCCGCTCCGTTTTTGTTTTTTGTTTGTTTGTTTGTTTTGTTTTGTTTTTTTCCTCAATTGGTGAGTTGGGACGGGGAGGTGCTGGGTGCAGAAGGTCGCTGCTGCGTCACTCAGAGGTCAGCGAGGCTGGCTAGAGAAGGCCCAGCTCCGATCTGGGGAAGGACCGAAGGGCCCAGAAGCCACGTGCTCGGGGCAGTTCTGCAGGGAGCGGCCGGTCCTCTGGGGAAAAGAGAAGCACCCCGGACTTGAGGAGGGGGCGGGGAGGGAGAGCCAGAGGAGGCAGGTTCTGGACAGAAGGGGTGGGGGTGGGGGGAGGTAGAGAGGACGCGGACAAAGGAGGCGGCCGGCAGCCCAGCTGTTTTGAAAAATGCTTCCTGTTTCTTTAAAGGCGCTCGCGGCTCGGGCGGCCGGGGCTGGGGAGGCGGCGGCGGCGGCGGGGGCTGCCTCCTCTCGGGGCGGCGGCGCTGACTGATCTCGCGAACTGGGCTTCTGTGTAAACTGAGGCTAAACAAACACAGATGGAGCGCAGCGGGCGTTCTCCAGAAATGCTGGCAAGGCGGCAGCGACTTCAGATGACACTCTGAGCGCTCCGGGAACGGACAGCCCGGCGGCTTCGCGGAGCCGGCGGCGCAGCTGCCCCGGGCGAGGGGGAGAAAGGGAGGGAGGAGGGCGGGCGCGAGAAGGGGGAGAGCCCGAGACTCCCAGGCGCTGAGCGCGGCGGCCGCCCGGGCAGAGCCGGCGCGCGGCGTGCAGAGCGAGCGCGGCGGGCGCGCGGCCCGGGCAGCCCCACGCCCCTGCCTCGCGCGCTGCCCGCGCCATGAAGCACATCCCGGTTCTCGAGGACGGGCCGTGGAAGACCGTGTGCGTGAAGGAGCTGAACGGCCTCAAGAAGCTCAAGAGGAAAGGCAAGGAGCCGGCGCGGCGCGCGAACGGCTATAAAACTTTCCGATTGGACTTGGAAGCGCCCGAGCGCGGCGCCACCGCCACCAACGGGCTGCGCGACAGGACCCAGAGGCTGCAGCCGGTCGCGGCCCCGGTGCCAGCCCCGGTGGCGCCGGCTGTTCCCTCAGGTGGGGGCGCGGACCCGGCCGGGGAGCGCCGGGGCGCCCGGGCGCCGGAGGTCTCCGACGCGCGGAAACGCGGCTTCGCCCTGGGTGCAGTGGGGCCGGGACTCCCCACGCCGCCGCCACCGCCGCCGCCGCCACCGCCACCGCCGCCTCCGGCGCCCCAGAGCCAAGTACCCGGGGGTTCCGAGGCGCAGCCTTTCCGGGAGCCCGGCCTCCGGCCCCGTATCTTGCTGTGCGCACCGCCTGCACGCCCCACGCCGTCGGCGCCCCCTGCGCCCCCGGAGTCTTCCGTGCGCCCCGCGCCCCCCACGCGCCCCGGGGAAAGTTCTTACTCGTCAATTTCACACGTAATTTACAATAACCACCCGGATGCCTCCGCGTCGCCTAGGAAACGGCCGGGCGAAGCGACCACCGCTGCCTCGGAGATCAAAGCCCTGCAGCAGACCCGGAGGCTCCTAGCGAACGCCAGGGAGCGGACGCGGGTGCACACGATCAGTGCAGCCTTCGAGGCGCTCAGGAAGCAGGTACCGGCTCCCAGCCGCACACCCTCACTGCGCCCGGGGACGTTTGCTGGAGTGGGTGGGTGAGTGGCGGGGAGATTTTAGGGAGGATGAGGGTGTGTGTGAGGAGCGAGTTGTTCCCGCCCGGTCGGCCCCAGGGTCCAGACAGGTTTGAGCCCTCCTAGGGCAGTACCCTTTGCCACAGCGTTGATACGGATCTTAGCTTGCAAAGTGGGGGCAAAGGTTCGAGATCTCTGGCCCAGGCACGCCCTGCTTCTCCCCCCAGCCCCCGGGGCGACCCTTCTGCGCGTCTGACTTCAGCCCTCATAGTTCACTTTTATGGCAGCAAGTATTTGTCTTCCCGAGTCCCTTGGGCGCGGTGGGGAGTGGAGAGAGGGAATGTGGGAATCTGTCTCCAGCGAGGAAGCGGGGGCGGGGCGGGGGGACCCTTCCTCTTCAGGCATTTAGCGCGGTCTGGGTCTTGGGAGGCCTACGATGCTGCGGAGGGGTGGAACTGGTTTTGCCACCCCCTCTTCAGACCCTACCTCCTAGGAGGGATGCCTCTACACTCAGGCTGCTTCGGAGCCCTGCATCCAACCCCCTGGTATCCTTAAGGATCTGGGCTACAAGCCTGCGTCCCCTCCCCAAGGGCAGCTTCAGGATTTGGCTGGTGAGAGCCTTCTCAGGGGATACCCTCCGCTGCTGCGCTTCACCTCATGGTGAAGCAGGTAGGTCTAATGAGGGGACTGGTTAGTTGGGGGATCTGCAGAGCCTTGTTCTGGGGTGGGTCAGGGGCTTCTCAGTTTGGGGCTGGTGGGTGTTGCCTTCACCAGACAGCGTCCTCTAGGGGGATGGAGAAGAACATTTGTCTGAGAATTACCAGTAATACGGAGGGGCAGTTTTGCAATTACACTTTAAACAAGACTGGGACTGCCCTGGGGTTCTAGACTTCTGGTTTTCTTAGAGAGAAGGGAGATCTAAGAAGAGAGTAGTAAGTGCCCCCTGCCCGCACCCCCACAGGGAACGGGGAAGGATTAGGGGTGGATGTGACTGGTTTGGACAGTCAGGTTTTTGCTTACTCTACAGCTGACTTCCTGTGTGACTCCAGGAAAGTTACTCAACCTCTCTGGGCTTTAGCCAACAACAGAGTGTTTTAGAAAACATGATCTTCTTTTTGGATCCCACTCTCTTCTTCCTTCTGCGGGTGGGGTGGACAGGTGCATGTGTCCATCCATGGGAAGGGAATTGAGCTCCTGGGAGGAAAGAGGCTGTATGACTTGAGTCAAAGTGTCTTGCTTGGGTTTGGGTAAGATGCTTGGTCAGTGATGTGGCCAGCCACACCAGTTGGGACCCTGAGCAGTGGGCCCAGTGGAACATTCAGGCTTACCCTTGGGCAGCAGCTCCGTGTCTGAATGCCTACGGAGGGTGGCAACCCATAGAGCATCTTGCAGCCTACCCCCAGGATAGAAGGATGACAGACTGGGCAGAAAGATGCCTGTCCACCTGCTTACCTTGCAACTAGGGAAACCTTGCAACTAGGGAAAGATTGGGGAGGCCACATGCCCAGGACATCACAGCTGGTGAGGAACAGGGTAGGGCTGGCACCTAGGTCCTTCGACTACCAGTTCAGGGCCCCTTTTGTCCCTCTGATTGCCTCTTTCATTTCCGAGAAAGTATTCATGGTCTCTGTGTACTCAACTCAACTAAACGTCTCATTTACCCAGGGCTTTTGCTTCCTTCAGTAATATTCCACCTTGCTTGATCTTCACATCCTGTCAGGTTGAATTACCCCATTTAATGGAATAGAAAACTGAGGCCTGGAGAAAGAAGGAAGGAGACTGGTCCAAGATCACCTAGTGGGTTAGGGAAGATGACAGCAGTTTCTGGAATGCCTGCCTGACCAAATGCTTCCCACAGTGCCATCTGTATCTGTCATGTTTATTAACCATTGGAAGCTGGTCTACCTATGACGGAATCCAAGATGAGATTATTTAAATCCTGTTCTTTCACGTCCACGCTTTCTGTGGGGAAGTTCTACCTAAGAAGGACAGATGCAATGACATATGTATGCCTATACATGTGATCATTACACATGCCCAAGAGCACATACAAATACATGGTCACAGAGGTGCCTGCTCCTCTTTGTTCCCTCCCCACTCAAACCACTCCGTCCCTTCCCCAGAAAGCTGCCAGGTCAGAGTGGGCATCTGCCTGCTGTTGGGAGGGAAGGAAATGTAGGTAGGGCACTTGTGATCTCAGAGCCAGGGGCTGAGGCCACACCCACAACAGCACCCATCCGATGGAGAAAATCCTCTGTCCCCCACACATAAGAGGTGCATGCGTGCACATGCATGCACACGTGCACTCTCACACACCCCAATCCAGACAGCCTGTAGCTCTGGATCTAGGCTCAAGTTTGACTGTTTGAAATGGGCCCTTGGCAAAGAAGGGAAAAGAAGGAGGATGGTTCTGCCTGAAATGAAGGCTTGGCCATCACAGCACCGAGATCAGTTCCGGGATTGTGGCTCTGGTCTGGGGTTTTGCTTCCCTGAGCAGCTAGCTTCTTGGTACAGTTAAAAGAGCACTGGGTGAGGAGTCCAGAGGCCAGGGTTTGAGTCGTGCCTCTGTTGCATGCTTTCCGCCGTAACCATGCAAAGTTACTTTCCTTCTCTGGGCTTCAGTTGCTAAAGCTAGAAAATGGAGATAAGGCTTACCCCCCACATAGCTTCTTTGCAAAAAGCAGATGAAGAAAGGAATGGGGGCTGTAGGAGGAATGAACATTCCTTGAGCATTTACAGAGTCCTCAGTGCCAGGCAAGGCCTTGAGAGATGTGGAAATAAACATTCTGTAATCATTTTAATAACAATCATAGGAACTACCATTTATCAGAGGCTTGCTTTGTGGTAAGCACTGTGCTGGGCATGTTAGGTGTATTAGTTCATTTAATGAAATAGGTATAATTATTATCCTTCCCCCCCCACCCCATTTCACAGATAAGTGAAGCTGAGGTTCAGAAGGCTTACCTAAGTTGGGCCGAGGTTGTGCACGTGGGGCCTCGTGGGTTTTGTAGCGCACGGCTCCTCGGCGTACCTCACTAGCTGTGGGGGTGCTGGGCCTCCTTGGCTTGGTGTAGTCACAGCCTGCAAAGCACGGGCCACTGTCACTGTAGAGCCTGGATTCAAATCGGAGCCAGTGAGTCACTCCAATGCCCAGGCTTTTAAGAGCTCTTCCTCCCAGCCTCTTGAATACCCCTGGCTGTCTGCCCTCAGCACCAGCATCCTGAAGCCTTCTGTTTGGTCTAACCCACTCTGCTCTTAACCGGGAAGGGAAGAGGAGGGAGCTGTTTGGCCAAGGAAGTGCAGGTGGGGGAGAGGCCCTCTGGTCTGGTGAGGGGCTGGGGTGTGTGCGGGGCAGATGGTCAGGCCACACAGCACGTGCCACCAGCCCAGCTGCGTACGGCCCTCCCGGCCGCCTCATGTGAAGGCCATGTGTGCACAGCTGGGCCTGGCCCATGTGCAGGGCTGCTCCAGGGCCAGGTGGGAGGGGGTTGAAAGGAAAGCCTGGCCTTGCTGGGGGTGGGTGGGGTGAGGGGACAGGCCAGTGTTCTGGCCTTGGCCTCCTGGCAGCACCCTGGGACATCTGGTGTGTGTGCAGATTTCCTTTCTCCCCTCAAAATTTGAAGACCCTCAGCCTTGACGGAGGAATGGCAGCCTTGCAGGGCAGAGGCCCGAGGTGGCAATGAGGAGCCCTCAGGGCCTGCTGAGGTGCCTCTGCAGGAAGTGGGTGCCAAGCAAATTGGGCCTGCGCCCCCTTCTCTGTTGCCTCTGGAGTCTCCCAGGGGATCCTAACCGAGGGAACTCACGATGGACGGTGGGCGGGCATAGAGATGATGCCCCCAACCCTACCCTTCCCTCAGTCACAGACCCCATAGCATGCCAGGGGGCCATGACTCCACAGCAGCCAGGGCACACCTCAGGGAATGGGGACAGGCCTGCTCTGGGGACTCCATCCACTCCTTACTGAGCCTCATTGCACTGGGGGAAGTGCCCTACCTGAGCCTGTTGTTGCGTGTCTCTGTGGTGACCTTCCCAGGCCTGTCTGGCCCTGGGGCCACCGCTCGTAACTACTAAGACCCCGGTTCTCAGGGTCCAGCCTCAGGTTCTCTGGGCCGGAATCCCAGAGAAGGGATTTTAGAGAACCTATTTCGGTAGAACTTGACAAGGACCTTGAACAGCTCCGCACCAAGTGGCTTTACCCCAGGAAGCCAGCCCTCACTGACATGAGAGATTAGAGAAGAATTTCCAGTAGAATCAGGCGCTCAGCTGTGGGCCGTGAACACAGTGCTGTGGGAGGTCTGTGGGTCCAGGATCCCGCGGGCTTCCAGGAGGGCAGCCTGGGCAGGATCTAAAGCGGGGGACAGCTTTGAGCACTTTCCTGCATGTGCTGGTAGCTTCTTGGCGTTGTTTCTCTGTAGCGGCTTCCTGTATTTGCCTCCCGCCATCCCCTTCTCAGGTAGTGGGGACTCTGGTGATCATTTTGTTAGTAAGGAAGCTGAGATCCTTTAAGGTCATGGGACTGTCTAAGGTCACAGTGGACGGCCAGGAGTGGAGCCAGGAGACAGTCTGGCTAGGGTGGGTGGGATGGAATGTTTGGGGGGCATATGGGATCTTGTCACAATCCCCAGACCTGGCCCTTGAAGCTTGAAAATCCTTATGGGGTGAGCACAAGGCAGGTCCTTTTACTTTCCTAGAAGTTGGGCAATCTGTTAGGAATCGAAGGCAAGGGACTGTCCTGTCTCCTTTGCCCTGTGTCCTCTGACTAGGAGAGCAGAGCGCTGCTGAGGGGGTCCTCTGCAGGTGGTGGGGTGGCTGGTCATGCACAAAGGCTAAAGTCCCATGGGATAATCAGTCCAGACCTCTCCATCCCCCGCTCAGAAGGGTGGGCTGCCTATCCCCCGACCTTCGGTTGTAAAGGCTTATCCAAATCCACAAGCAGTTGCTTCCAGCTAGTTGGAAAGAGCCCAGCTAAGGCATCCAATGCTTCTCTGTAGAGTGGAAGAGATCATTTCTACCTCACTGGGCTGTTTAAAGATAAATACAGGCATTGTGTTAAAAATACCCTTAGTAGATCCCAATAAACAGCTGGGGGTGGCCTGGTCCCAGCAATCACGTAGGGTACCCAGGTATTGTTGTTCTCACTCTCCAGATGAGGGAATCGAAGGCACCTCCCAAAGTCACTGGCAGGTGCCTGCAGTTCAGACCAGCTCTTTCCACCCTTCCTCCACCTCCCAGAACTAGGAGGAGCTGCCAGACTCTTACTTTGTGAGGACTAGGCCAGAACTGGGCTTCTGGGACCACGGGGCTGCATCCTGGGGCATGGGCACCAGGAGGATCTGGAATTAACCAGGTGAGCCCAGGAGCACCTCCCACCCAGGGGAGGGGAAGGAGAAGGAGTGAGCCACCCAAAAGGCGCCCTTGGCGTCCTACATATGGCCACCTGTGCTGGGGGGAGCCTGGGGAGCTCAGTGGCCATGAACCTTCCTTGGGTACTCGACAGACAAGCTCCTGGCTTAGCTTCAAGTCTTAGCTGAGTGTCTACCTCTCTGTATCTTCATGTGCAGAATGGGATAAGAGTCTTTATTTTGGGGGAAGGTTTTAAATGGGACAGATTACCTGTGAATAGCTACCGTAATGTCAGATATACCACTCGGGCCCAATAGATGGTTTCCTTGTCAGATCTGGATTTGGATAGAAGCAATGGGACAGAGTGACAAAACTGGCCCGGAACCTGGACTGGAGCCCCTAGGTTGGCCTTGGCCTCATATGTTATTCTGTAATCCTGCAATGACCCTGGATCCCCACACGCAGATCCTTCCCGAGATCCCTGGTCCCCACTGGCAGGAAAGCCCATCTGTTCAGGGGCCAAGGGCTCAATGAGCTGGGTGACTGCCCGCGTGGCCCCTGGGTGAACACACCAGTAGGGATGCGTATCACAGAGCTGCGCCCAGTGCCCAGGGGCCTCTGGCAGGCAGGCACTCCCTCCTGGGAGCAGAGAAGGCAGAGGTGCTGGGCTGGCTCTCGAGACACCCCCCTCCCCTGTGCCAGGACTCCCGGGAACCTTTCTGTCCCACAGACCTTGTTTATTTGTTCAGGCTGATAAGCAGGATTCTCTGGACTCTGGTCGGGAACAGGCGAAGTGCATTGTTCTGCTGGCTTTTCTTGGATGGGTTTGGAGCCAGAGTGAGGACTGGGGGGTGGGAGTTGGGGGGGGCATGCACGGGAGTCTGCATTCTCTCTGTCACCAACCTGCCCCTCCTTTGGTTTCCTAGTCTGGTGAGGGTCAACTCCTTGGCTGCTGGAAGATTTTAAAAGGGGACAGCAAACCTTGCCTCTGGTGTGGGTGCCATTTCAGGACCCCCACTGGTGGGGGGGGCGTGATGAGCAGGCATCGTGTCCTGGCTCCAGGGCACGTGTCCTGCGTCTAACCTGCTCTGGAGCCCCTCTTTGGAGACATTCTGCAGCCCCAATCGTAAGGGCTCGCTGACTTGTATCAGGCCTTACTGTATGCAGTGTGCCTATTGCTGCGGTGAGGGCAGTCGTGTTAGCATATGAAGAGGAAGCCAGCCCTTGGAAAGGTGAGGTCTGTCGCCCCCCCCACCCCCTACCCCCCCCACCCCCTACCCCCCCAACCCCCCCGGGGTCTGCTAGCCTGGGAGAGCTATAGAGCAGGAGGTGAGCCCAGATGGCCAAAAGATATGTGTGCTTAAGCTCTACACCGAATAGCTAAATCTTCATCCTCCGAGAGAAGAAAGGGTTTTGAATACATTTCTAAACATTCTGGAGCCCCCTGATGAACATGGAGGTAGATCATTCATTTATTCATTCATTCTCTCATTGAACAAACCCTTTGGAGGGCCTATTAGGCGCAAGACCTGTGCTAGGCCCTGCAGATGTGAGCCTCCCCCCATCAGCTCACAGGGAGACTGGCCATTAAATGAGTCACAATAATCAGGAGTTAAGGACAGTTGGGGGGCTATTAGAGCATTAAGGGCAGGTGTCCACTCCAGCACTCCTCCCCTTGTCCCCTGGTTTAGGGTTGGGAGGGGAGGGTCAGAGAGAGCTCCTGGACAAAGTGAGAACAAAGTGGATGATGCATTTAGGGCCCCATCTGAGGTGACTGTCTTATTCATGCTTTCTCAGTTTCTGCACCAGTGACAGGTCGGGCCGGGCAGTTCCATGCGGTGGGGGCCTTAGAGGACCCTGTGCATTGCAGGATGTTTAGCAGCGTCCCTGGCCTCTATCCAGCAGGGGCCAGTACCATCCTCCCTCCCCTGCTCCCCAATACTGACAGTTAAGAATGTCTGCAGATATTGCCAACAGCCCCCCAAGGGACAGAATCATCTGCAGTTGAGAACCATTGGCCCAAAACAGGGCCTGGTATATGGGGGATACTCACCAAATACTTGTTGAGTGGACCTGCTGGGGCGACCCACTCTGCAGGATGGGGTTAATGGGTACCAGAGTTGGTGGTAGGGGTGGATGCTGGGTCTAGATCTGGAATGCCAGAGAGAGGAGAAGGAAACTGGAGCCCCGGGGGCTGGGTGAGCAGTACCTCAGAGGAGTGGTATGGGCTGTGTCAGTTTGCCCCCATCAGATGGACGTTGTGGGGTCATTTCCACATCTCAGCTCAGAGCTCAGCTGTCGTCTTCATTGTTTTTTGCTCACATGCACGGTACAAACATTGGCTGACAGTGTTCGAAAGTTGGACGCTCTGTCTCTTCACCCCGTACAAACCCCTGTGCAATTAGTGAGCGTCTGCTTGGCGATGAGTCACTGACAAGCATGTCAAGTCTGGTTGGGACTGTAAATATTTATGATGCACCTGTTGCATGCCCAGCAGCACTGCAGGTCCAGAGGGCATAAGGAAAAAGAGAAAAGAAAAAGAAAGCCCTCCCAGCTAAGTGCTGGCACGTTCCTTCTTGTATGTTCCCAGAGTCCTGGGTACCTAACTCTTTTATGACATCTCTCTTGAGTGTGAGTTCTCTGAAGTCAGGAATCAAGTTTTTATTTGTAGTTGGACCCCTGCGTGTCCAGCAAAACAAGAGTCGCTGAATGAGTGAGTGAATGGCGTATCAGAGCTGAAAAATCTGAGAGACTCCTTCTTAGGGAGGGTGGGGGACAGAGCTCTGTCATGGTGGGAACTCACATGCTTCATTCCTTTTGTCTTGTGGGCGTGAGCTGAGCCTCACTTTCTTCCCCTACACAGTGGGAACGTGGATGTCTCCCGGAGTTTGTGAGTGGACGAGTTGAGATGCGTGCGGGAAAACAGTGGGTGCTTAGAACAGAAAATAGAATGCTGGTCAAGGGATTCGACAGGCCACCTCTGCTCCCCGGCGGTCCCCTCTCGGGCAGCGGGACGTCATTGTGAGTGGCCCCGTTTGCCTGGCCAGGGTGCCCTGCTGGGCTGTGCTCAGTGCAGAGCCCCCGGCAGCCCCTCCTGATGCCTTCTCAACCCCCAGGTGCCGTGTTACTCCTACGGGCAGAAGCTGTCCAAACTGGCCATCCTGAGGATCGCCTGTAACTACATCCTGTCCCTGGCGCGGCTGGCTGACCTCGACTACAGTGCCGACCACAGCAACCTCAGCTTCTCCGAGTGCGTGCAGCGCTGCACCCGGACCCTGCAGGCTGAGGGACGCGCCAAGAAGCGCAAGGTACGTGCCAGCCACGCGGGCAGCAGTCTCCGGAGGGGGTCGGGAGAGGTGGGAACGGAAGTCGGGGCATCCCACTCTCCCCCAGGCTTCTGAAGGGGCCAGCAAGATCAGCCTCCTAGAGGTTTGCTGGGAGTCGCTTCCTGGGATTATGGGGGTGACCCTATTCCTGGTCCTGGGGCTGGCGGGTACCTCACACAGGCACCCTGGGCCTGGGTTTGCTCCCTTCACGTGGAAGATGGTGTGTCTGAAGCTCTTTCCGTTTTTTTGTGCTCTGGCACTGATGTGCCCAGGTGGCCCCTGATAGCTGTTGTATCAGAATGAGCCAGAACGAGATCCTCTGAGCAGGGTCTACAGACCAGGAGAGCCCCTTGGCATGTTTGGGAGTATGACTTGGCCTGTGCATTACCTGAGGCCGTGCATTAAGGCGAGTGATGTTCGTCATTCGTTCATTCATTCTGGAGAGATTTGTTGATTGCCAACCATGTACCATGCATATTGGGCAGGGATAAAGGTGACAAACGTGGTCCCAGTCCCCATGAAGCTCCCAGGCTGGCCAGAGTGGCCCTTCTGCCAGTGGATATGGGTGGTACAGTATGGCAAGGTGGCCTCGGAAGTCTGTGCTAAGGGCAGCAGAAGGGCCGGCACAGGAAGGACAGCTTACCTGTCCTGCCCAAGGGAGTTTGAGAGGGCATCTTGGTCTGGTCCCTCGATCTGGGACTGGAAGGACAGCCAGGAGGTCACCAGGAAGATGAAGCAGGGCACAGCATCCGAACCAGCCTGTAGCAAGCTTGATGGGTTTGGAGAAAGATGTGCAGGGGGAAGCGTGGTGAGCACAGTTATGGTCCCTGAATGGCCTGTGCCCCCAGCCTAACCACTTGGGGGTCAGTGCCAGGCAGTACTGAGCAAGCCTTATGGCAGCCCTCTGGATCTCTGTTCCTATGAGGGGAAGAGACATAGAAGGCAGGACCCAGCCTGTGTCCGTGAGGTGGGTGGAGGCTGGGAGAGACGCCTGGCCCCCTGGGCATCCAGGGATGGAGAGGGTCAGAGAGCCAGGTGACTGGCATCCTCCATTCTTCCTGGCCTGCCTCTCCCTCTCATCCCTGACGTTCCTCCCTCCGGCCCCCCTCCCCCTCCAGCAGGCTCCTCGCTGGGTCCTCCATGTTTCCCAGAGGCCTCTGGGCCCTGAGCCAGGGAGGCCCCCCATGGACTCTCCTGCCTCCGCCGGGGAAGGCCCCGCACGTCCTCCCCGCCAGCCAGCCACGGCCGCTGCCACGGTAATTGGACGTTGCATTCCTGGGAATGATTTAACGTGGACCAATTAGATGAAATCCTCATCAAGTGGGTGAGAGAGGAAGCGCCACTGGCTACTGGCAGGGCGGTTTTCCTCTGGAAAGTGACACGGGTAAATTAAGGGCCTGATTGATGGCTCCATGCAGGGCTCTGTGACAAAGGAGGTTTATAAACTCTGGGTGAACTTCCCGTGGCATTCGGGCGGCCCGGAGGTGTGGATGGGCAGGGTGGGCAGGCGCCGTTTGCTCCCAATCCACCCCTCAGCCCCTCACCTCCCCCCGCAGATCCCCCCTCATGCGCTGAGACAGGAGCGCTGACCCTTCCCTTCCCTGTTCCTTGATTGGAGCAGATAGAGTCCTGGGCTGGGGAGGACGGAAGGGGAGTGGGGTGAAGAAGATGCCCAGCAGAGATGAGCTTTTGGCTCCGCCTGAAATCCCTTCAGGTCTAAGACACCTTAGAGACCATCTGGTCCAACTCCGCATTGCCCTGATTGGGAGACTGAGGTGGCAGATTGTGGTTCGGGGCATCCAAGTCCCTCCTCATCACCTACCAGCTGTGTTGTCTTGGACCCATTTCTCCACCTCTTCGAGCCTCGGTTCTGTCGCTGATAAGTGGGCATGGTGGGAACGTCATGAGTGATTTCTCAGGCCCTTTGCAGCCTCCGTGCCGAAGTGGCGGTCTTGCCTCTCCTCGGAAGAGCAGGGGGTATCCTGTGTCCCCTCCTGCGGTATCCTGTGTCCCCTCCTGCTGGGTGGCTGTCCCAGGGGCTGTGCCTGCAGTCAGCATTGCCAGGAGGATGTAGATGGACAGGGTCCTGGAGATGCCGGGACATACGACGACTTGTCCAGTCCCAGTGTTCTGCCCTGGCAGGCTGGGGGTTCACGGGGCCACCCTGTTTCTGTGGCTTATGCTTTCCTGCATGTCTGTCACCGTGCAGGTTGGTGAGTCCTGAGATGTCCTCAGGGAGGGCCCAGTGACCTGCCCAGTGGCCCTGAGTGGCTGGGGCAGGCCAGCATTCTGTTAATCGGAACCAGGGGGGCTGGTGTCCCTGGAGATTCACTTGATGATTCATTCATTCAATGTTTATTGAGCATGTGCAGTGAGCTCTGCACTGGGGCTTGACCCTCCATAGTCCCTGTAGACAGAGTGGATGGATTGAGGGCTCAGATCGAGGCCCTGTCCCCCCTCCCCTGTGGCCACTGAGGGTTTGGGGATGGGAGTGAGCCAGGCTTACATCCTAAGGAGAGAGAGGGAAAGCAAAGAAGGGAAGAAACTAGAGAACGCGTGCCCATGTGAGTGGCTCAAAGGAAGTCCTCTGTAAATGGCAGCTGTGACGGGGGTGATCCTCACCAGTGTGACTGATAGCAATTTCAGCTTCCCCTCGAGTGAATGTGTCCCCAAGAGGCCGGGTGACCCTTTCTCAGGACACCTCTGTGAGAGATCGTGCGCAGCGTCCTCTGACATCCCTTGTAGTTCTAACGAGCTGCCTTGACGGCCCCCCCAGACCTGTGTTAAGAATGGGATTTAAAGTGAATTCAGCCCCCCCATCTCCTGCCAGGCCTCAGGTGCCCCCTTTTGCCCATCTCAGCCCTTCCCTGCCAGGGCCAGAGACCTGCATCCCTTGACCCGTGGGTCCTCTGTCTCTGGGCCTCGCAGGACACAACTTCGAGGGTTCAGAGCCTCGTTTGGAAGCCAGGGTCATGCAGAGAGGCCTGTATCGGAGGCCGGAGGCCGCCCTGCCCGGGGATGGGGGCGGGGGTGGGGTTGGGGGGGGTTGTCATGGGGGGAGGGGTGGATGGGCCCTAGAGAGCTCAGTTCTGACTCTGTCTGTAGTTGGAGATAGCGCACGCTAAGCACCTGGCTCTGGGCCATGTTTCTGCAGCTCCTGTTTTTAAAGCAGCAACTCCTGGGAGCTTCGGAGGAGGAGGAGAAAGAGGAAGAACAGCAGGACTGTTTCACACCTGGGCTGGGGTGGGGGGGAAGGGGCGCGGGGGGGGGGGGAGGGGGGCTAACCAGACCTGCAGAATAAGAAAGGACCGATTTCCCACAATCCAGGGTGCCCCTTTCCAGCGACTTTAACCTCTGGAGTAATAATCAGAGTAACAAACATTGACAGCGTAATTTCAACCCTGGTGCTAAATGGCCAGCAAGTCTGTTCCCCCGGGGTTGCTTGCAGGCCATTTGGGGATGGGGAGAGAAAAAATGTCATGATGCACTGAGTTCAGGGCTATTCCGGAAGCGTGGGCAGTGATTAGGGGATTAGGGCCCCCTGGGGCTGTGCCAGCTGGGGGGAGGCTGGGGGGAGGCTGGCTCTGCAAGGCTGGGAGGTTGCTCCTTACCCTGTGGGTGCTCTGTCCCGGAGGAAGCGCTGAGGCTGGTGTAGCTCCGTCAGACTTACGTCTTCCCTCTTTTCCTGCTGCTTTCTAGACAGGGGAGGCTTTTCTTGGTGATGGCAGGTCCCATCTCATGTGCAGACTTCCGTAGCTTTGGTGTTGGGGACAAGCTGAGGTGGTACATTGGTTGTGGGTTGGGGGTCGCTGGGAGCCAAGGATGTTTCGAGGGGCCCCTTACTGTCTGAGCGGCTGAGCCCAGGCCTTGGACAGGACCTGGTGGCTCCTGCTGTGTATGTGGACCGTGCCCAAGCCCCAGAGCTCGTGAGGCAGAGTCTCAAGAGCTCCTGCTCTGGCTGGATCCAGTCGCCTGTATGCAGGGCCTCCTGTGTCCCCAGAGTGTCCACCGAGGGGCACTGCCCTGGCTCTGTCCCTACCTGCATGTACATAGTCACCCCCACTGGGGCCTCCGGTCTACTTCTGTAAGGTAAGTTGTCACCAGAAGTGATTTCTAAGGCGTTTTGGGGCCGGGCTTTCTGAGTTGAGGTCCCTCAGCCCCTTTTTATGTCTGAATGACTAAACGCCTCACTCTTACTTTCCCTGTGCCCTGCGTGGGCATTTCACACAGATCTAAAAGTTGCTCCCAGAGACTGCTGGGACCCCCGTGCAGTGTGTCCTAAGAACACTGATAATACCTGAGGTTCTTAGAGCCTGGATTACATGCCGGGCGTAGTGCTTAGGGCTTGTGATGGATTGCCTCGTGACTCTTCCCGCCAACCCTGCGAGGTGGGTACCAGTGCTGTCCCATTGCCCAGATAACAAAGCTGAGGTTCAGAGGCCTGAGGAACTTGACCAGGCTCCCTTAGCCAGTAAGAGAGGTGTGCGGTGGCCCCTGCCCTTCCCTGTCCTGCCTCCCACATGGAAGTGGGTTTGCGAGAGGAGCTTCTTTTTCCATATCCTCCCGGCCAAGTTACTGAGTTAAATACCATTTGCCTTCAAAGCCCATAGAGTCCATCTATGCTGGGAAGAAAAGGGGGGGTGGATGGGAAACCACCATCAAATTCCCTTCTAGTCATAAAAATGGATGCAATGTATTTTTTCTGGCATTCCAATTACATAGACGTTTGTCGCCAACTGTTTGGTCTAACACAGAGTGTTCTCTCAGCTGCCGTTTCTCCTCTCACATTTGACATCATTAGTCCACAGGTCTGGCAGGCACTGGGCTGGAGGGATCACTGGCTGGGGAGCCTCACAGGTGAGCTGGGAGCCAGCTTCCCCCCGGAAGGCAGAGCTTGGCCCTCTGATGTTCCCCGGGTGGTCCTGGGGGGGGGGGTGGGTAGAGGCGAGGTCCTGCTTTCCTCTCTCCTCACACACTCTCTCCACCCCTCTCCTGTGCCCTTCTCCAAATTGTGCCCCTCCTGACATGCACTCACAGACCCCTCCCTTCTCCCCAACATGGAGCTTTGGGCATAGCAAGAAAGAACCAACCACTCATGATCAGAGAGCCACAGAGACATGGGAAGAGCCCTCTGATGCTCTAACTGATCACCCTTGGGGATGCAGAGACCTTCAGAGAATGCTTTCCCCCCGGAGCCCCTCTTTGAGCCAGGGTGCTCCTCTGGAAATCCCTGCAGAGGCTCAGTGACCCTCGGCTCAGAATGCTGGAGAAAGGGTGTCTGTGTAGGTGAGAGTTAAGTTGAACCCTACCGTTCTTTTCAGTTCTCTGTGGTGCTGGCATTTAACTTTAAGGCATATGAAAGCATAACAAGGAGACCCTCAGCAAGACTATGAAGTAGGAGAGCTTTGGGGCCGGAGACCTGGGTTTGAGTCCCGACACTGGCACTTTCTAGCTGTGTGACCTTGGGCATGTCACTTAACCTCTCTGATTCCCACTCCCCATCCTCTCATCTGTAAAGTGAGAACCACATGCCTTCCTTGCCACCTTGCTGGAAGGATTAAACAGGGTCCCATTTGAGAAAAGGCCGGCACATTCTCAGTGAGTGCCAGAGAGGAAATGTCAGGAATTTACAGCAGTAAGATAACAACTTCCTGTGGAACCCCACGAAGTACTATCTCAGGAAGGGGCAGTGCCTGGGGTGGATGAATGACTGATCAACCAAAAGGCAGATAAGGATGAATAGCTCTGAATGGGGGACCCGTCCCTCACTAGCACCTCAACCAAAGCCCTTGGTCCTGTACCCATAAGGGGAGGTGAGCGTGCAGCCAACCCAGAAATTCCCGGGCTTTTGAAGTTCATGGATTCATACCACAAAACATGCCTCATGTTCGGTTGTGTAGTCATAAGGCTAATAAACTGTCGCCAACAGCCTTGTGGACCATGTGCTAAGTGTCCATGGTCTCCCTGACACCTACATACATTATCTGTACCTCATATTACACTAACCCTGCAAGTGAGGACCACTTCCCCCATTGCACAGAGGGGAAACTGAGGCGGGGGGGTGGCACGTGCCCAGGGCCACGTGGCTAACAAGTGGTGGAGTCGGTTCGAGCCTGCGTCTCTTTGGTTCTAAACCCCATGCTCTTCAACTCTGGAGGCCTGCTGGGCCCTCAAGCTCGCCTGCTGCCCCACGGGGTGGCCCTCACCCGGAGGGCCCCCCCCCCCCCCCCCCCCCCCGGCAAATAGGCAAATAGCTGGGTGCTGCGCCTCGCCCGGAGCTCTTACGTAAGCAGCCGGGCTGCAGCACGCGGAGACTCCATTCAGCTGCAGGGAGCCAATAGCCCGCCGGGGGCGGCCCTGGGGGTGGCGCTGGCTGGGGTGGGCCGGGGGTGTCATCAGCCCCCAGCACCTCCAGCGCTGCCCCGCCGGCCAGGCCTGACACCGGGTTACGTCGCCTGGCGGCCTCTGGCTGCAGCTGGGAGCACGCCTGGTTCCCATTCGGGCCGCTGTGGTTTTGATTAGCTGTTCTGCGGGGCGGGCCTGGTGGCGACTCCATGGGAGCTCCGCGGGAACAGAGGGCCCCCCGCCCGGCCGCCGCGGCCCCCCCTCCTGGCAGCCCCAGACTCCAGATGTTCTGAGCGCTCGCTGGGAAGGCCTGCTGGCGCCACGGAGGGCAGAGGGCAGGGAAAGCACGCGAGCTGGAAGCCCAAGCACTCAGTCACCGCAGGCCCTGGCAGCCCGCCCAGCCCGCTGCTGGCACATTCCCCAGCTCTCCCCTGGCCATCTGTTCCCAAAAAACCCTTTCAGAGCCTCATCATCACTCAGGATACAACAGCGTGAGCAGCTGGTTTGGAGGCAGAAGGGAAAACCGTGCAAAAGGTCCTTTGTGAGAGAGGAAACTCACTTATGAATAACAGGGCTGGACGCCGTAAAAGTTGGCGGCTGGGATCCTTGTTTCTCAGGCGCCGCTGTTTTCTCTGGACTTTTTATCTCCGGTTTTTATTTTGTTTCCCCTCGTTTTCTTTTTATGTTGCTTCTTCCCCCTCTTATACCACTTATGACTTTTCTTCCTCCTCTAAGGTGCCCGAAGACCACCTAATTAGTTCTCCTGGATGCTGCCAGACCCTCTTCCTTCTCGAAACTGTTGAAATTGGGGATCATTGGAAGGGACTGTTTTCATAAAACCTGGGCTGGAGGGGACAGACGGGAAGGAAGGGGCCTGGGAGGGACACTGTGGGCAGGGCCCAGCCGTCAGTGTTCGGGTCTCGGACAAGAGGCAGAGGGACGCCAGAGATAATGTGGAGCACTCCCCCCACCCCCAGTCGGCTCCTCAGAGCAACACAGAGGTGCTTGGGGAACACAGTGGCGTTAATAAACACCCTCGTGCTTGGGCCCCTCGGCTGATTGCACTATGACATGAAGCTTTTTTAAGAACTGGCTGTCTCTGCCAGGAGCTTCTGGGAGATGCCTGCCTGGAATCTGGGCACCTCCTGGGAGCAGTCACCGGGTGGCCTGTCGGGAGCCCACGGGGTGCTGGGGCAGGGCTGGCAGCTGGTACACCACATCGGGGAGGAAGGGAGATAGCAAGGCATGGCCCGCCTTCCTCACACCCCCTGGAGCCCGGATGTGGAGCTGAGAGTCAGGCAGGGGGCTGCCAGGTGGAGGTGGGGAAAGGGATGCCTCCCAAGTGTTAGAGGCTGGTGATTTCATGGAGGGGGGGCATGTCAAGGCCAGGGGACTGGGCGTCTCCACTTTCCTTTCTCAATTCCCCACACCCTTTTTCCACTGCCCCCCCCCCCATCCCAACAGACCCAGAAGCTCTGGAGCCCCTCACCACAGCAGTGGGGAAAGCCTGACATCCCGCGTGGCGGGGGTGGAGGGGGGGCTGGCTTCTTCCAAGCCAAGGACTCTGGGCATTGGAGGGCGTCTGTGTGTCTCATCTGCCTTGTACCCAGGCCCCTGCATTTCATTCCTTTGCCCTCCTTTCCTCTCTCCTTCCCTCCCCATTTTAGTTGGAGAGAGGCAGCTCCGGAAAGGCCAAATATTTATGTTTGTTGCAATTTCAGGGCCATTAATCTCACCATCTGAAGGGCTCCAAGCGGGCTGAGATCTACCCTCCCTGCTTGGTCTCAGTGGGCAGGTGTCTGGGTCTGGACTCTGAAGCTCACCTCCGCTCTGCCCTGGGGCTGTGTGACTGGGTGGCCTTGCTCAAGTGTCCTATCTGGAAGATGCCCAGCCTGCCTCCCGGACCTGCTCAGGGATGGATGCACAAAGTATGTGAAATTGTCTTGTCAACTCTCTCCTCCCTCCCATGTCTTCTGCCTGAGAAATTGGTCTTCGTACAGCCAAAGGTGAGGAGAGCCTGGGCAAGGAGGAGGGACCACTGGCCTCAGGCCCCTGGTTGTAACGTGGAGCCAGCCCAGTGACCAGAAATTGCTTTCCAGCCCTGAGGCTTTCAGAGGACAAGGGAGGCAGAGGGAGGACAGGCCTGCCCACCGCCCAGCCCTGAGCCCCTGTACCCAGCACATCAGGAGGCCTGGATCAGTGCCAGCAGGCCTCGGTTCCTCGCCTGCCCTTGAGCCCGTTATCCCCTTTCCACCCGCCCTAGCAGAACAGAAAGCTGGTTCTAGGGGAAAATATCAATCCCTGCCTTCCTTGAGCTCCTAGTAAAAATATTTCTGGAGGGAGAAGTAGGGAGCCATTCCTTCCTTCAAGACCCTCCTGCTCTCCACCCAGAATTCACAGCCCACTGGGACCTGGCCCAGCTGCCCAGCCGCTCTAACTCAGTCGGTCCCCACCTGAGCTCCTCCTAGCAGCTCTGCCACAAGCCGGGTCTGACTGCCTCGATCCCTGCTCAGGACCCTCAGGGGCTCCCCCCAGGCCAAGAGTAGAGGCCACACCCCTCCCCCAAGTGACCTGGCTCTAGCTGGTCACTCCCCGTGTCCCAATTTACACTCTAGCAACAAGGAACTCCTCGCCCAAAGGGGCTATTTTTGGTCTCTGTGCTCATGTTGTCCCTTCTGCCTGGAATGCCCTTCTCCCCTGTCTGTCTGGCTAACTCCTGCTCATTCTAGAAGGCTCAGTTCCTGCTGGAAGCCCTCCCTGACCCCTACCCAGCCTCCTCTTCAGGGCCTCACAGCGTGGCCACTCTGCAGCCTTTACCACAGGGGTGTGTATAGTCTACTTCAGGAACGTGTCCTGTGATACACTGTGAAGTAGTGATATAAGATGGTCTATTGTGTGATCTACTGGAGCTCATGTTATGTCATTACATTATATTTTTAGCTGGTACATTACATGACATATTACGTAATATTGTAACCCCTGCGCTACATTACGTCATACAGTGTTTGTGTAGTGTGCTTCTTTAGCCAGACTGGGTGGCCTTTCACTTTTGTGTCCCAGCTTCTGGCACATAGTAGGCCCCCAAATAATGATGCAGCGTTCCTTCAACTAAAATCCACATAGCGGGCGGGGGCTGAATCTTCCTATGCTGAAGGCAGAGACTCGAGGGAAGGATAAACTAGGGGCTTCAGGACACAACCAGAGAAATGCCCCTGTGTTCCCTCAGGCCCCTGTTTGGGAATCTTGTGTCCTTATTCCCTTGAGTCAGTGAGGAAATCTTTGCAATGCAGATCACAGAATCCCCTCAAGCTGCAACTTAAACTAAATAGGGGCTCCCGTTTCTCAGGAAGGCTGAAGGGAGGCGGCTGCTTCCTGGGCTCCAAGGCTACTTTTGGTCTTTGCCTCATGGCTGCATAGTGGCTGCCACAGCACCGAGCACTTCATCCTCATGCTTCATCCAAAGGCAGGACAGGAACTTTGCTGGAAAGAGCATTTCCCCTCATCAGTTCAGT